TTTTTATTTTCATTTTACAACAATTTATTAGATTAGTTTCGTTCATTCAATTCTTCAATGCTTTTTTTTCCCCGCTGTTCCGCTTTTATTATTAGCATCGTTGTGCGAGAAAATATACATATTCTCAAATTGCATTGCAAAGATCGGAATAGATAAGGCGCTTTATTTGTCATATTGGCTTGTGATATATTTTTGTTTTGATGCTTTCCTCCTCAGTATTGATATGATAAAAATTTTTTCACAGCAAATTTTTTTTTTCCCCCAAAATTTACTAGAATAACAAATGAAAAGAAAGTGAATATTCCTTTCTTTTCATTTGTCATTCTAATAAATTCATATCAAAGTTCATTTATATTTGGTAAAGTTTGTACAGGAATTGAAATACGGAAATGATTTATGTCATAATTTATTCCAGCTTAATATTAGCATTTCCATCGATTTATGTAATGAAAATTTTGGATGGTTATTGAAATTAAAATTTATTCATCATATTTAATGGATTGATTACCTTCATGAATAACTGTTATAATTTCATTCATTTAATAAGCGTACAACTTCTAATTAATAGCGTTATTGTGAGACTGAAAAAATGATTGTAAGACTATGTTATATTAAGTTACATCAGTTCTCTAAATCAAGTTTTAAATTTAAGTGAAAAATTAATGATTAAACTCTATGCTTATAGTTTTGCATAAAATAGTGATATAATTATTATCAGTTGATGATTAATGCTGTGATCATTCCAGTTTATATTAGCATTTTACTGGTTTATGTTATGAAAATTTTGGATGATTGTTGAAATTAAAATTTATCTTAAAGTTTATTGCATTATTGAGAATGATAATAAATCATTCGTATTTTGATTCTCTGATGTGAAAATTCAATTTTCTGGGCTGTTTCCGGAATATGTTTCACAAAAGGGATAAAGTGAGAAAAAAAAAGAAAAGCGAACAGAAAAGGAAGAGAAGGAGAAATTATCATTATCATAGATTGTTTATAAAATTCATTAAATATTTTAACCTAAAATTTTGAAACTTCATCAATTAATTCTAGATTTTAAAATAAAATATTACAAATTTCCATGATGTTTGTTCGTCTTTTTATTTTCCTTACTGATAAATTGCACTGTTACAACTTTTCCTTCAAATATACTCAAATATTTATTTGTTTATTTTCAACATATTGTTTACCTTAAGCGTAACTTCTCAAATGTAATTTTAGCTGTTTGTAACTATAAATTTTATACGGTTGAAATTATTGAAATGCATTTGTTGAGCTTTTATATGTTTATATTAATCTGGAAAAATGATAGATGGGCAAAAAAAAAAGATTGTTGACAGTAATGGCATTCGCTCTAATTTATTTAATACAAAGATTACGGCAAACTTTTTCAAATCATTAAATATTTTTCGAAGTAATAAATTTATTTCATTTCACTGAACATTTATAATAATTACTCTATCTAATTATTAATTTCTCTTATTTGGCATTTCCTGATTTTACGTTATCATTTCAGAAAAATGTTGTGCACAATAATTAGCAAAATGAATTGAATATGATGGAGTAAAATTTCATTTTAATTTCAATGAATCCGTTAGATTTATAATCAAAATTAAAAATCTTCCCTTTTATTTTTTCTTTGATCTTATATAAACTTTTATTCTCATTTAATTTAAAGCACATAAACATTGAAAATTCATCACGAATAAAATGTTTTAATTCTAACTTTTGAAAAAGTTCCTTATATTTATTGGAAAATATTCTTTAAAATAAGAATACTTAGCAAAAAAAAAATGTGACGGGTAAGAAACAATAGATTGATGTTTGATGTAGAAACCTTGAATTGATATAGAATTTTGAATTTTTTTCCATTTGAAATATCAACAATTACGATGGAACATTATCAATCATTATCACTTAACATAAATCCCGTAAACATAAATGAATAAATGATCGATCAATACCTGCTCTGATATTCCTTCCATTAATGATTACTTAATCAATCAATATCTGATACTACATTCTTTTCATAAATGAATACATAATCGATCAATATCTGATCCCATATTTCTTTTATAAATGTAATTCAAAAACCAATCACAAATATGGTCCGACTTTTGGCGTAGCAAAGTAATGTGAGAGAAAGGTCAATTGTGTTAAATGCATCGCATTAAACTCAAGAGGTCATCGTTATTGATGTGCTTAACGATGAAAAACCTTCTTGAAGAGAAAAAGGGAGAGAGAGAGAGAGAGAGAGGTAGAGAAATTAGAAGATGGAAAGAGAGAGGGAAAAGATAGAAAAATTACAAAAGAAGAAAAAAACTATTGTAGAGAGACATACATTAAATAGGTTTCTTGAAATGTTTACTGTGTGCATATATGTGTTGTGTATGTGTGTGTGTGTGTGTGTGTGTGTGTGTGTG